GTTCCGAGCACTTGAAGCGATCTGCTAGCTGCTCATGAGTCACCTTCTGATCCATCAGCTTCAGCATCTCACACTTGGCGCTGAAATCTGGCCGCGCACGAGGCTGAGACTTGTTACTCCCCCCATTCGTGGCCTTCGGACGTTTAGATTGTGCCTTCCCAGTGCTGTCTGCTGCTGACACTTTGCGCTTGCCGGCTTTGGCGACGCACGCGCTGCAGATGCGGTGATTCTCGTTGCCTACATCAACCACACTGCCGCAAATGCCGTGCAGTCGCCCGCCACATCCTCCCTGGCAGCCGTGACCATGAGGGTCTTGCGGCGTGGTGTCCTGTAGTTGGCACAGTTCACCTTCCGCACAGGGCATGGTACGCCCCTGTGTAGAGCTGTTCGGGTCTGCAGCAGCACGTGTACCCTATTTCTGTGTGTGGAGTCTATGTTTTCTGCCCTGGGTTGTGCGTGTGTGTGTTTCGCGCGTGCGGAGTACCGGCACTATTGGGGGTGACAGCAGTGCCGAACCGGCACTATATCGGGCATGCCTTAATTAGTGCCGGTCTGGCACTATTGAGAGCTCCGCCTGTGTGCAGAGATTTTACCGGCACTATACCGGGCATCTGGCACTATTCAACCGGCACTAAAAGGGTCCCTCGACTGTACTTAATACCTTGTTAGGGTTAGCCTGCAGCTCCAACAGCCGCTGACGTCTGACACAGCCCATGGCCCACTGAATGCCCTGACCCAAAACTCGAAAACGATATCTAGCTGGAGAGGCTTCAAACACCTAATTAATGAACGGACGGCTTCATTCTTTTAAGTTAGTGCCCTGCTGTCCTGGTAGCCGAATACCCCATTCCCTACGAAAGCACAAAATAAAGACTGGCGAAAAGCTGAGAGTCGCGGCTGCAGTACATCCCCACCCGCTTCGATGACGACAGAGATCGCCACGCAGGCGACCACATACTACGACACCACCCCCCGAACTTCGGACCAAGACCATTTTTCGAGTTTCCCCTTCCATGGCTGCCCAATCAATTTCTCCAGCTCCATTCGTAATGACCCCTTTTAGCCCACCGTCACGGCCGCCCTAAGAAAAAACTGCTTTTGTGCGTAACGGCAAAGGCACTACAACAAGGAGGCGCGACACACACGAGTGAGAAAGAGCGAGCGAGAAGCGTCGGTATTAGATGGTTGAAGCAACAAGCCACGAACTCACTCCCAAATAGCGGTAACCATCAAGGCTGACGTGTTGCAAAACGTCTGCCGGAAAGAGCTGTAGATGCTACCGATACAGCAAACAATATGTGGAAAATGGAGGGGGAAAAGAAGAATGACATTCTACATTACGGTATAATAGAGGTGTTGAAGAGACAGGTCGTTAGCTTTTCTCGCCACAACTGTTTAATTGGGGGAGAAAACAGAACCGCAGGGGAACTGAGATGGAGGAGATACTTGTATGGACGCGGGGTCATGGCGACATTCTGAACCTGACAAATTCTGAAATCAACCCAGACGCAATGATAGACATTGATGGACAGGAAGACGAATGCGCAGTGGTATCGTGGGGGCAACTCTCGGGGTGTTGTGTGCGGAAATCGGTGGCCTACGCCGTAACTACCCGTAAACTACAAGCGAACAATGAGGCAGCAACGGGAGGAATATCGCTCGAAATCGTCCCTTGCATGGGGCTGACGACGCTAGTATTTTGTTGCCGAAAAGCTCGACTTCACGCCCCGGCGTACCGCACTGCTACAAACCAATGGCACACCTAGATCTTCCCTCTCCCCGAACCATGCACAATGTCGGCTACATGACAACTGCAGCATTGATCCCGTTCTGCTCGCTCTCACCTTTTCACGTCTGTTTGGCGCCACCGCCAGCGCCGCAATAAGAGTAACAGCATGACCTTTGATCCACGACCTCTATCCCTGATTACCCCACGGAATCATCAGCGGCTGAGTGTACGCCTACGTGGCGCGGAAAGGAATGCAAGATACAAGGACACACATGTGTGTGTGTTGTGTTGTCTTCACATTAACAATCATCCCGGTCTCCATCAAGTGTACCTCCATACGTCCGTAGTATTCCACCAGACACGGCCAATTCCCGTCGTCACAGGTAAAAACCTTTATGACGCGTCCATGTTGCCAAACAAAGAAAGGAGACACCTGAAGAAATGCGGATACTGGCGAAAATGTTGAACGGTTGCATGATATCTCGTCAAATATGACGAAAATACGGTAAATTAACAATCTCTGAACAGACGGATTTCGGAGATTGTTTTTCCTGTAGTTGGGGATGGCGAGGGAGGGTCAGAGCGTCTACAGCAGTCCCCCCGGAACACTTTTCACAGGCTGGACGTAGACGGCT